TTAATTCCTTTTTGTTTCGAAGATATGCAATGTTTTATTTCACTTTTTATTAGTTTTCGGATATTTGGTGCACTTTTTGCTTCACTTTTGCACTAAATACGCATTATGGTGAGACCTTGTCGGTTTACTGTGCATATAGTTACGTGTGGCTGTATAGATCATCTCTGAAGCCAAAAAGATGAAATTTTGTAAAACGTAGATCTTCGCTGTGCAAGAGTCCAAGAATTTGAAAATTAATTTAAACTGTTCTTCCTCACAATTTATGATTTTACAATAATAACTGCTATGACCAGTCGGAGTCCTTGAGCACAAATAATCAAACACTGAAATAATGTTTTATTCGTGTGGAATATGCGTGTGCTCCAAATATTTTTTCTGTGCCGCGTAGACCTCCTAATGTGCTTGTGGGTAAAATTTTATTGTTTTTTTTCTAACTCTGTAGAAAGATGTGGTACTTTCTTACACCACTGCTTTGCTTTTATGGATTTATCAAGGAATTTAAAATTGGTGAACCGTTCATGTATTTGTATCAAAGCGAAGTACTCAATTTGACACGTGAACAGTTAACAAACGAGGTCTGTTTATCTCGTTTTTTGCACACCATGCAGTTAAAAAAAAAAGATAAAATTAAGTCGAAATACTTTATCACAAAAAACTAGGCTTTTCTTTCCCTAAGCACCGTTTGCACATCCACATTGGTTTTAATCTGCAAAAATATCACTGGCTGAATGTGCGCCTTTGTTAAATGATATCTAAACTTAGATCCCTCTGGCCCATACTTTGGCTAGACATAAAACAGGATTAGGAGATTTTGATAAAGAACTCAATTTCAGATTTATCCATATTCCCCATATGGATATTTGGTATCACTAATTCCAATATTTTTGCTTACGGATCTGTTGCTTTATAAACCGACAATGCTTGTGGAGGTCATCGGACAAGCTGTTTATCGGTCTATTTCGCTCTAAAATTCAAAATGAATGTGTTCAACGAAAGCAAAATCACAATGCGTAAAACATGTAAATGAAAATCGGCTTTATTTAAAAAACTAAGAGAAAAAATCATTCACAAGCAAAAGATTTTTTTTCTGAAGACATAATTTTTTCTTGTTAGTTTTATTTGTCTTGAAAGTTAAAAAAAAACACTCTCTAGTTTTATATTTTTCTTATGACAGATCAAAAAAATAACAATATTTCAAAGCTGGTGAAGCCCTGCCAAGTGATCCTGTTGTGAGAACAGCTGAGCAGGAAACCGCTTCAAGAGGCGAAACCAGGATCCGGATCATTATCTGGATAACTGACTATTGGGCGATGGCCATCTGGATAACCGACTACAATAGTCAGAATGGCTGGAAAAGTTGTCGGCTGAGCAGATGGAGGAAATCAGGTCATGAATTACAGCTAATCAAAGTATCGCGAGTGATTACAATCACAAGTACCATGAACAGTAACAGAGCCATCTCTAGGAAGACTAGTGCCTCACTCTTCTGAGAGCTCTTGACAAGTGAGCTGATGACATTCCTTGTCATTTTGGAGTATTAAACTGCGCTAGCATTTCCAGTAGCTGAACTTTTAATCTTTTATTATTTGCCTTTACATTCCACTTGTTTGCTTACGTGAATACTTAGGTCAGCTGCAATTTATAGCGTGATTCCCTAGCTGTGGCACTGGTGACTTCCACTAGTTGCTCTGGTCAATGCTACATTATCTGGTGGTCAGCTTGCTGACAGTTCTTATCTCGAAAAGTTGTCTTCACTTTACTTTACGTATTCACTTTTTATTTATTAGTTTTTTCAATCGATTTATTTTGCACTTTTAAATAAGTAGTAATGAAATATAAATAATTTCCTGATAACGGCTCCTGAAGAACAAAGGCACGCTCCGATTTTAATGCTCTTCAACTCAGTTTGTTGATTTTCATTTTACGTTGTGATTTTGAGTTCCAGTGTAAACACTCAAGATAAGAAGGAAGCTATCAGGAAGCTATCATTATTATTATTTGTCTTAATACTTCACCGCCTGATAATAACATGAATATAGTGTTCAGAAGTACGCTGATATTTTGTGCAAAAGTATGGGCACAAAAATTGGGTATTGTAATCTATGGAGTAGCATCCGCTTCAGAACTAGCCTTTTTCTCCTATGTTTATGCGAAATTGGAGAAAGATCAGTACCAAAAGTAAGTTATTGTAATAAAATTGCATGAAAAATAAAAACACATGCCAACCATCTTCCTCTTAATTCCGTTTTATGAGAATTGGCCGAGTTGGTAGCACGTGCCAGTAATAAGCACTCCTTGTTGGCTAAGTTACTGATAGCTCCTTTTTCGAGGATTGCTTAGAAGCAAGCTAAAGCGGCTCTGATTCCCCATATTCGTCAGTCAGTGAATCCTAAAGAAATTGGTTTTTCTCATTGTCGCAATGAGGCCACCAGCTTGATCCAGTATGTTACACAGCTTGCCGA